TGATCATGGATTGATTTTTCATTGTGAGATGGTTTGCTTATAATAATTGATGCACGACAATAATAATTTAATGGTAAAGACATGGTTTGCTTATAATAAGCACGTAACATCAAAATAAGAGACAACTCATGCAACCACGTGTCAGATCAGTTTATTATATTTTTTAAAACGGCAAAAAAATATTAATTGAATATATCATTAGAGACGATAATTCAAAAATACAACATGAACAAAAAACAAATCGTCCATTGTCACAAACCATCTAATCTGTGTATTCATTCTCAAACGAGAAACATGTCAGAAAACAGAAGGGAAGAAAGTGAATCATCGAACATAAATTTTCTACCTGTTGTGCAAGGGATTTGATCCGGTTGGAATCCCTCTCTTGTCGTCCAAAGTGTAATCACAAGAAGTTTTGCGGGAAGAAAAAGCAGCCTGGAGATGGTAGGAACTGGAAAATCCACGACCAAATGCAAAAGCTCCGAAATTCGCAAGAATCAAAAGAATCACAACAAATTTAAAAGAACCCATTATTACAACATTCAACAACACGCGAACTCGGTTCTCAGCTGATATCTTTGAAAAGATCTTCAGCGAGCATGTTAGCAGAGCTGCCAAAGGAGGAAGTGTCTGGTTCTTGAAGGGAATTGAAGCAAAAAAAAAAAGGTGGGTTATAAGAAAGGTTGGGGATTTGAATGGATGTTTTGAGTGTCGGGTTTTGATTTGTCAACAAGTTTTGTGGACAGTATTTAGGTGGTGTACTTCGGGTGCCATTTAACCTTGAGCTTGGAAGCCAATGGATAGATTCTAGACATTTTCTTACCATGCTATGGTTTTGTTCTTTGTCTGCAAGGGCTTCTAAGCTTTTGCACCAATCTCTAGGAAACTTGGTCTCTTCAACTCAAAACACACGCCTCAATAATTAAATATATCGGCCTTAACCTTGCTTTATTATATTACATACGTGCTTTAGCTTTACCTTCTTCCCTTTCTCGTTCTTTTATAATATATTTTAGTACACCAGCTAAGAAAAAAGAATTTATTGTTATTTCTTAAAATTTTGGTTCGTATTATAAATATTAGGAGTATGAACATTTAATATCAAATAATTAAGAATTATCTTTGAACATATATTTCCTTGTACTTACACCATATTAATCAAAACTTAATGTTAAATTATTAACAGGTATTAAAATAACACAAAAACTAAACATTATATATGATTTTTAAAAAATTAAAAGTTTATATATTAAAACAGACAAAAATTAATAATTTAAATACTAAACACTTTACTTACCCTATTTTTGTTCCTAAAGAAGATGTCATGTCTAAGGATGACAACGAGTTGAGTCAGAGTTGAGCTTTTTGTCAACTTAACTTGATCCGTAAATATGTATCATCTATTCAAATCCGATTCGACCCGAAAATTATATATCCTAAATCCAATCAGACCTTGAAATATATATCTTTCATTCGATTTCAACCCTATCCGACCTCATCCCTTAAAAAATCCGACTTTATCCAATTCCAATACTATCTAACAGAATCAAGTCAAAATCCATTAAATTCAGGTCAAATTATCATCCCTATTCCCTAATAATGCCTTCTAAATCTTTTTCTAAAAATGATAGGTAGTCTGCGCATTTTCTTACTCACAAAGTAACAAGCACCTTATTTTAGTAAATAATTTTTTAACATTCTGGTCAATATTTTTCTCACCATATTTTTTAAATATTTTTTTCATTTTTAATGCTATATGTTAGTGTATGGGTTATTATTAAGTTTACAGACTAATGGTAAGAAATAAAATCAAAATTGTTAGTTGATTGGGTTCAGGCATATGGTAAGAATTGGGCCACTAGCCCTGTCCCTTTTAAATATGCCCAAAGCTCATATTTAAAAAATACTCGATGATTTATACAATTATAATAAAAATCGTGAGAGATTCATATAAATATACTAAAAATCATATGTATAAAATGTACGCATTTATGTATCTTTTACAGATGTATTTGAAAAGCAAATCTTTTTCATGTCCGAGTGAAAGGCAACAAAAACACGTTATTGACATCATTGGGTTCCATTTCTCAATTTCGCCATCTAAATTTAAGTAGGAGACATCATTGTTGAAAGCAACATGGACCGTCCCCAATTTTTTTTTACTTAATTTGTCCAATCTTATATAGTCCTTAAAAGTTCTAACTTATTGGCGGATGCAAAACATATTTAGGGGGTGTTTGGTTTAAGGATTGTGGGATTCCCATGAGATGGAAATCCCACATTCCCATGTTTGGTTGGCCGGGAATCTCATTCCCGGTAATGTTTTATTACCGATAGTAGATTTTTTGGAGTATATTAACGGGAATGTCATTACCTCCCTTCCCTTAGATATTGTAACATTACCGACGTTTTGGACTAAAATGCCCTTAAATTTTTATTTTTTTTTCAAAAATATCTTTCTTCTGTCATTGAATAATAAAAATTCTACGAATGTTCAATTACAAATTTATCCTTAAATTATTTTAGATTTACAAAAAAAAAATCTATAATTAAAATTTTATATAAAGTTCAAGGGTTAAAAAAAATTACCCTTTCATTAAACCTTTTTTATATTTTTAATTTTGTAAAAAAATTATATAAATATTATGAATTTAATTTTTTTTAAAGAAAATGTATAAATATTTTACAATTTGTAATATTATACAAATATATAATAAGGATAGTTTGGTCAAATATACATTCCAATAATCTTTTATTTTTTTAACCAAACACGATAATCTTACATTCCTGCTAAACCAACCAAACACAAAATACAACATTCACATTAATCCTATTCCCTGGTAATCTTTTATTCCCACTGGTAATCTTGCATTCCGTGAACCAAACGTACCCTTAGGGTAAACACGTGTCCATCTTAAAATCTGATTTTTTTTAATATTAATTGTCCATTTTATTATGGATTTTCATTCTGATTTTTTTATATGTCCGTCTTACACAAAAAATTTTAATAATTAATTTGTGTATATTCATCCTAAAAATATTTTTAAATTTGTCACTGATATAATCCAATTACAAATTGAAGATATACTATTCATTTATTTTGAAAAACTTGATAATTATGAATCAAATTAAATATAAATAATTTGATTTTGATATATATATATATATATATATTATTTGAAAAGAGCTGATGAAACCTTGATTGATGCAGGGAAGAAATGGCAATCAAGCTATCCCTAGTAAGAGGAGGTGTGTCCTCTAATGCAAAACGACACGTGGGTTTCTTTATTAAATATTTATTTTTTAAAAAGAAAGCTTAATTTAAGAAAATTAATTAAAAATAAACAACGCGAATATCTGTCCGATAATGTCATGTCCCAAAGCTTGTGTTATTAAAATAAAAGTTTCATGGACCGACGAATTAACCAACACACGACACACGTCCTGTGATTTTCCTTTTTTAAAACTATAAATAATTGTGTTGGCATAACTTTAACCATATAAAAGATGAGATTATTAACTAATCATTACTATTAGAACGGAAAATAAAAAGTAAATGTTTTTTTCACGAATCAACTTATTTCGATAGTTAAATGAATTGTGTTATTTTTAGAGATCACGACTTCAAAAAATAGCAACTGATGTAAGGTGATTGAACGTTAATAGTATTTAAAATAGATACTACTTTATAATCAGTTTAGCTTAATAAAAAATTATTTTTTATGCTAATTTTTTCACACTTGGACTTGCTCTTTCACCCACTTCTTTTATTTATATATTTTATAATCACCAAAGTTTCAAACATACAAAAGGAGTAAAAATAATGAATAGCAAACGTCAAATGAGTAACTAGATTTGTGTTTGAAAGTGTCATAAAGGCTTGAAGATTGGTATGTAATGATGATGACAATGGTGAGAAAAAAATAGGTGATGAGAGTGATAACAATGAAGAAGAAGTGAAGGAGAACAAGGGAGTACTTTCCCGGAAAGTTACTATTTTTCTAGGAAATTGCTCTAGTGGACTCGTTCTTTTATATAAGATCAAATATACATTTGATATTTGAATTATTTATTCTTTTGAGTTGTAATTAAATAAATTTATTCCTAAACTATTACTTAATTAAATATTATCTCTTGAGTTAGTATTTTAAGAAAATTATTCTTAAATTGATATTTAAATTTAATTTTATTCGTTATTTTTATTAAGGGTAATCATGGATCAAATTTACCTTATTAGACCTAATCTTTAGAATAAAAGTCCCACAGATTTAATAACTTTTAAGTCATAAAATTTAAAATAGAAAAAAAATGACTGATTAGTATTATATCTCATTCAAATGAAAGCAACTGAATCAAAGACACATAAACGTGAGCTAACTTCATTCTTCTCCACACCCTTCCCCCCTCTCACTTAATTGTACCCACCAACTCGTTTTCATTTCTTCGTTTTTCTCATTTCCAGACACCAACAACGGTAAATCATCAATCTCGGATGACCCATTCTTTATATATATATCTATTGAACTTGGCTATCAAAATTAAATAGGGAAGTACTCAAAATCATATGACATATATATTAATTTGGTTATTTTTCTATAAATATTTGGGATTTGTCAAGTACTATAAAGTATTTTATGACAAGTATGTAGGAAGAAGGTTCGTGTATGTAGACACATGGTGGATTTTCAACTAACGTGTTCAACTACAAAGATTTCCAACACAAAAAAAAAAAAAATTACATTACTATATTGAATAAAAAAATTAGAAATGACCATCCAACTCAATTGGTAGAGTATAATGTTCTTAACATTGAGATCATGGGATCGAGTCTCACGGAGGGCATTTCATAATTCGAAAGTCTATTACGGAAGCTGCTCTCAACCTAGTGTTAGGGACAGCCTACTATCTTACCTCCCCTTATCACATTACATATGGGAATAAGGGTCCGCTAATTTTTTAATAAAAAAATTACTAACAACAATCCCTTCATAGATTTCTAATGATCGTTTACATTGATCAGTATTTGTACTATTGTTGCCTAAATTTAATTAATTACACTACTTTTGATTCATTTTCTTTTGCTGTTACGTTCTGAATAGCTTAAATTAATTAACATGCTGCAGAAGGATTAGTGACGTTATTATAGAAATGAGGATCTGAAGGCCCGGAAAACAGGTTCTTGGGATTCCCCTGGCCGCCGATTCTCTCACACGACGGGCACATAGTGAGAGTCGCCACCGGTAGGTTCGTGTAAAAGGGTCGCGCCGCCATTTTCAGTGCTTTGAGTTCTTGTAATTCTTTTTGCAGTCTTCTGTTTTCGTTTGTCAGCGTCTCACAACACCTCTTCAAGAACTCACAATCCACCTCCGTCTGCTTAAGCTTCGTCCTGTAATGTTCAATGGAAAATTCATCATTTTTTCCACCCACGGAATTAAAGCTTGAAAAGGAAAAAGCTTTATGATCTTAAGTTGTAATTACCTGGCTCTTTTGTTTTGAAACCAGACTTCAATTTGTCTCGGTTTCAAGTTCAATTGTCTTGCTAAAGCATGCTTTTGATTCTGTTTTTATGGAACAAAAAAGAGATTAATTAATCGAAGCTGATATAGCGATAAAATATATGAAAAACAATGAATTATGAGGGAAGAGAACTGTACTGGATTGAGGGTGTTGTGTTGTTTAAAGCTTTCCTCGAGGAGAGCCGATTGTTCTTTGGTGAGCCGAAGTTTCTTTCTTGCATTGACGCCATCTTCGTCTTCTTCGCTAACTCTACATGAATTCTTCTCTACTTGTACTTCTTCGCTGTCTCTCTCCCTCTTGACCCTACAACTAGAAAACGACGAAACAGCGCTAGGATCAGGAGAAGCTGGACGATACAAATCGGCGGCGGCGGAAGCGGAGGTGGGAGGTTCTTCACGGTGGCGATGATGATCATGATAACCACCTTCGTTCACATCAACCTTTTTGGTGACAGTAACTCGGTGGCTCTCACCGGAAATACCAAGCGTAAGGAATGGTTCAAAACTCATCGTCGGAGCCGCCCTGGCCGGTGGCTTGTTGGACGTTTGATCGTTGGCCTTGGGTGGAGTTTCTGGGGACGATGGGAAGCCTAGCCCTAGAACAAGGCATGTATTACATGCATCATCAAGACCCATTAAGCTTAACCTTTTCTCTCTCTCTCTCTCTCTCTCTGTCTGTTCCCTATCGGTTGAGTTTCAAAAGGGAAGTTTATGAATGATATTTTTTATGGATGGTTTGGTGGATGGCTATCATTTACTAATAAAAAGAAATAATATAACCCATGAAATTCCATCACTATATTTATTAATTATTAATTTTATAATGTACTATATTAATTAAATTTAAACATAATGGAAATTACTTAAAAAATCTATACTTAATGCATTATAAATTTTATTAGTATAACAAAAAAAAAAAGGCAATTTCCTCTCGCTGGGTGTGTCCCTCTCATAGAGCTATGGAAAATCCCGTATTTCACGTGGCAATATGAAACACGTCAAGGTATTGATTCATCAGCCCTTGCCACCTTTAACCATCCACAATTTCAACTATTATTATTATTATTTCACTGAATAGAAGTTAGGTTAATCCATTAAAAACATCATTAAAACCCTAACACAATGCCGACAAAACAATTGCAAATGGTTTAGGGTATCCTCTGGACCTCTCCTTGAATATATCCAATTGGGGCAGGGACTATTCCCTATGAAGAACATATTACAACTAAGATATGTGAAGCTTCCTTCACGTACTAGCATCCCCAAATAGGGTTAATTACGTACTATTGATTCGTGAATTATAATACTTCCTATTGAATTTGTATCTAATGAATAAAATGGATAGTTAATACTTCCATTACATTTGTACCTTTAATTATTTAGAAAGGACGAATTCACAAAATATTTTGGGAGGTCATGATTGAATAATATTTATATAAAAAAAACGTGTGGATAAAAGATATCATTAGACCTTCGTCTCATTAAAAATTTAAAATAAATAAATACAAGGGTAAAATACACAGGTGGTCCCCTTACTATAGAGTATTGATTTATTAAGTCCCTCGACTGTTAAAAGTTACAAAATGGTCATCTGATTATAGAGTTTTGAATTGTCGAGTCCTTCAACTATTAAAAGTTATAAAACGATCACCGCACTATTCATTATGTTCCAAACTCGTAATTTTCTGTTAAAAATTTGATTGTATTCTCAACTGAATGTTAACATGCTGAGTGCGATATGATCACAGAATCTCAAACGACTATTATATCTCAATCATTATGTTAATGTCTATCTTAGACAACCGTCATTTTCTTAACAAAAAGGACGAATTTAAAGTATAATGAATAGTCGAGTGACCATTTTGTAACTTTTAATAGTCGAGTGACGTAAAAAACAACATTTTATATTTGAAATATCATTTTATAATTTTTAATAGTCGAGGGACTTAATAAAGCAATACCCTATAGTTAGAGGTTCATTTGTGTACTTTACCCCAAATAAAAATTCAAGTATTACATGATTTTGTGCATATGTCATGATTTCATTATTTTATATATATATGTAAAATCCTGTTGCAAACCCTACTAGGGTAATTGGATTTTACCTAGAGAGTTGTAAAGAAATAAAGAGATAAATAAATAATGCCAAGTAGATCGTAATTTAAAAGTTGTCCAAATACATTAATTAAGCGGGAGCACGATTTCAACTATTCTTAATTACACGATTAAAATCTACTTTAAATTTCTATTACAGACAAAATGATTATCAATTAAAATAACTTATACGGATGATTAGGTGATAAGTAATGTCATTCCTCATTAAAAATTTGCACACATCTTAATTAATTAAATTTTACAATCAATAATTTTAGTCTAATCATGATGTAAGCAATCGATCACAATTTAAAAGAAAAAATAAAATAAATATATAGTTTTTTTTTGGTGAAAAACCTATTGACGGATAAAATAAATATATATATTTTTTCAAGTCGATACCTTTTTAGACCCTAACATAGCTCCATCCCCAAAGATCAGTGATAATATATTAATATTTGAATAAGATTATAAAAAGAGAAAATAATTTCAGTGACCGAAAAATGTTTTATAATATACGATTTTAATTAATTTTTTTTGGATTTGTAAAAATAACCAACAAAACCGCAACGCGATTCTAAATTCGCAACACAGTTTCTAAATTCGTAACTCGAACATGAAAATTTTCGCAACGTGAACTTCGCAAATCGAATTTGTCAATTTCACAACTCAATTACCGATATAGGTAAACACGGTAGAAAAAATCCGGTCAAAAATCCGAATTCACCAATTTGAAAACTGAGTTGCGAATTTGGCAAATTCGTGCTGCGAAATGTAAAATCTCGCCTCTTAAAGAAAAAACCATTCCGGCAGTTCGTTTGTTTGGTTAAAGTTAAACGAACGAACGAACGAACGAACATGAACATACCCTCGTTCGTGTTTGTTCAATTCATTTACAGGCGTAGGTTTAGCTGAGTGATTCACATGTGGACTTAGAAACTGGGATGTCCCAGGTTGAAAACCACTCTAGTGCATTTTATGTCCTTTAATTTTTTTCTTTAAGAGGCGAGATTTTACATTTCGCAATACGAATTTGTCAAATTCGCAACTCAGTTTTTAAATCGTCGAATTCGGATTTTTTACCGGAATTTTTCTACCATTTTTACCTATTGTGAAATTGACGAATTCGATTTGCGAAATTTACGTTGCGAAAACGAAATTCGCGTTGCGAAAATTTCATCTCCGAGTTGCGAATTTGGAAACTGTGTTACGAAATAGGAGTTCGCATTGCGAGTTTGTTAGTTATTTTTGCAAATCCAAAAAAAAATAATTAAAATCATATATTATAAAACATTTTCGGTTACTGAAGTTATTTTCTCTTATAAAAAATATACATATCACATAACTTTAGACCATCAAAAATATATATTTTTCTTTTAATTTTATTTCTTTTACTAAAATTATTGTACAATAATTTTTTTAAATTAAACCAAACGAATAAAACAAAATTTAACCTTTAAAACTGGATTAATTGAGCTATATATATATATATATATATATATATATATATATATATATATATATGATACTATCAGATAACGAAGTGTAATATAATTTAAAAATTATTTGGGTGTCATTCTGGGCCTAGAGTTCATTTTTTATGTCAAGTTTGTAACCCTTTATATACGGGGTGTATCAAGGATTTGGGCATACGAGACCACAAATGGGCTACGAATTAATCTGGGGTTGCACGATAGGCTTAATTGCCTGACCATGATCAAAATATCAATTCGATTTCAATCTAAAAATCAAAACAGATTCAAGACGGAAAAAATCTTGAAATTGATCGGAGTAGAATCAAATCGAATATAAGATACATATTTTTAGATCGGAGATCGAAGCGGTCGGAAAATCGGGCCGCCTCGCTCAGTGCCAATCCCTACTTGGCCGTTTAATTCCCTATACCTTTGCCCTTAGCAAAACCGCCATCAGCATTGCATAATGTAAACGGTTGTTTCATAACTTTTTAAACTAAATCGATTTAGCCGATCATAATATAATAAAATTAAAACAATTGAATTGAACATATAAAATTGGTTTAACCAAATTAATTTAAATTTGATCGATTTAGTCCTTTAATTGAAGTTATACAAGGTTTTATTTTTATTTTTTATAATTGATATTTTGATTTCATCGGTCAGATTAATTAGTTATTTAAATATTTCACTCAAATCATAGTCATTAATATTTAACGAGGTATTTGATGTGTTAGTTAATAAAATTGACATAACTTTATATTTGGTTCTCAATATTTAAATATTTTTTAATTCAATTCAATTAAATAAATCTAATATCTAAATAGATGGTGACATGTGTCATCACAGGAATAAAAATTATTTTATCATTAATAATTAATATATTTCTCGACTGATGATACTTGAATCACATATTAAAAAATATTAATTTTTTTAGTTCAATATATTTAGACAAAAAGCTTGGTATGACGGTTGAAAATTATTGTTTATATATATATATATATATATATATATATTTTATTTTCATGTGTTTTCAATATATATATTAAAATTTTGTGATTACAATTTGATTATATTTTTTAAAAGAATTATAAATGTCTTGGTCACGCGTTTTCATGAACTGTGAGAAAGCATTGTTATATTGGTTTTTCATGTAAAGACAAAACCAATACAAAGAAATCCTGTTATTGCTCAATGATTCAATATCAAAACTTAAACACTCCAAAAAAAATCATTATCACCAATCAACATCCGGAGCCCCCAAAGTTCAAGAATCTATTTTCTTTTAATTTATTTATGGGTATGGGAAGTGGGTTAGGGTTGATGAGCCATGAAAATGAAAGGCAGTGACCAGTGAGCCATGTTCCCCTGGGCCCTTCATGTATCCACCACCTTCAGCACCTCCCTATGGGTTGCATACCAGGTTGCTTGCCAATTTCAAACATAAACAAATATATTAAATTTCATAATATTTTATATTGCTCGAACTGGGACCTCAAGAAATAATAATAATTTCTTTACTACTGAAGTTGCTCGATTCATGCAATTCATAATAGTTTAACTTTAACGATACGTGTTTATGTTTATTATCATGATAATATTAAAATTGTTTATTTTGATTTCATAATTTACTTGATTTTTTTTTGAATTTTTACATGGTTTACTCCCAATTTTCATTCTTTATTTGCATACGTAGTACCTATAGTTTTGTGCAGTGCAGGTGGTTTCGGCAAAACTTTCGAGATAATGTTCTGAAAGAAATTAATTCACGAGCTAATGCACTCCCAAAATTAATTGTTCAAATAGGGTGAAATCCACAGTAGTGTTGGCCGTAGGTCGCCATGTCTTCCCGGCGACCTACAACAACATGCTGGGAATCCGAGACCATCCGACCGAGGGCATCCGAGGGCAACCGAGCGAGCTATGCGAGGGAATCCGGGCAACCAAGCGAGGGTAGGTCGCCCGGAGTACATTGCGATCTTGTAGGTTGCCCTCGGATTCCCTCGCATAGCTCGCTCGGTTGCCCTCGGATGCCCTCGGATGCTTTCGGATGGCCTCGGTCGGATGGCCTCGGATGCCCAGC